AACAGAAATTTATATTGAATATTCTAGTTATTGTGTTTAGTTTTATTCTTTCTCTTATCACTATTTTCTACTTGTATAAAACATTTCCATAATAAGCGTGGATTAATTGTAAAATCTATTCGATCGTTTCAATTACAAGTCTTTTTGCTGTAACAAAAATTAGAAATTATAAAGGAAATATGAAAATTATATTTATCTCTCAATATAATTAGTGAAAATTTACCTCTCCCTATGATGCAGGAGACAAGAAATTTAAAATTTACCCTTCCGGGAGATAAAAGATTTAAAATTTACCCTCCACCAAACAAAGTAGTTGAAAAGGAAGAAAATAATTTTATAAGTAAAATTAGTAATATCGAATTTGAAGATAGTAGTCAGATTAGTATAGATGATTAAAGGAAAATGTAAAATTTTTTTTAAATAAATTTAGTTTAGCAAATTTGATTAAATATAGTTATTACACAATTAACTGTTTATTTAATAAATAAAATTAAACAGATGTTAATTTGTTAAAATTTTCATAATACATCTTTGAAACATTAATATTTTTTGTTGTTCCAATACCATTTTCGTAACAACGACCTACATCATAATACACTTGAACATAACCTAAACCAACAGCCTCTGAATAATAAATGAATGCTTTGCCTTTATTTTTTATAATACCAATTCCGTGTTCATAACAACGTCCAACATTGTACATTCCTTCATTATTATTCATCTTGGCAGATTCTTAATAACAAATAAATGCTTTATATTCGTCTTTTTTAGTTCCAATTCCATATTCATGACAATATCCAAGCTTGTTTTTATTACCTTCCCTAACGTATTTTTCGAAATCTTCTCTTTCTTTTTTGATATCTTCTTTACTCGATTCGATAAAAGCAGTCAAATTAGTGTACGTATCTTTATCAACTTTTTTATAACATTCCAAGGCCTTATGACAATTTTTTTCAGTTCCAATTCCATAAAAATAACAGCAACTGAGTCTAAATAATCCTTCAGCAGAATTTAAATTAGCGGATTTTTTGAAACAATAGAAGGCGGTTTTGTCTTTTTCATCTTTAGAAAAAGTGTCTTTTTCTTCAGTAAGATAACATCCTAAATATAACAATAATATTCGACAGCTGTTTTTATAATCCTCATTCTCGTTGCTGGTTTTAATAATTTCATCTATATCCATCGGTTGAGGAAAAATTTCATCAAACATTGCGGTCTTTTTTTTTTTTAAAAAAAAAAAAAAGAAACCAGAATTACCTATATTTTTTTTCAGTTCAGATATTGATATGTTAATCTTTTCCATCTTGATTATTCATTTAAAATAGCAAAACGGAATACTTTTATATAAAATTTATAACAATCTTACTACGCCATTGGATCTGGTTTAATGTAAAGCAACTCCTGGTAAAATTAACACCCTTCGTTTGATTAATATTGATGGAAATAATTGATACTACGTGATTTTACAGACCTATAGGACTGTGAAAAATAAGATTTCAAACTATATTTTTTTAGTATCGAAATATCAGTTCCCTGTGAATCTTTTTCTGCAAGAATCTGAATCCGATTCACTTTTTTTGCACTCAAACGTTCGACACTGACCAATCACGTCTCATCCCTGTGAATCTTTTTCTGCAAGAATCTGAATCCGACACCAAAATGTGGTATCGGAAAAGCAAGTTTTGATTAGTAAAATCGAAATTCCCAAATGTGAATTCTGCATTTGGTAATTTTCAAAGTGATATCTGCATTTATAATTTTTGTTTGTAATCTTTTTTGAACCCGATTAAGGAAATTTATTTTTTGATTTTTAGATTCACTTTCAATGACGTTTAAATAAACTTTACTAAAACAAATAATTACTAGATCGAATGAATATAACTATTTTTATTGTTGTAAACTTAAAACATGTAGTTATAATATTAATGATTATTTAACTAAAATTAAACGATTCTAAATGTTTCAATCTTCTCAATCACAAGTTTTTTATAGATCATTTAACTTGTAGCGAACGTATAAACGCATTATGTTTTGGATGGCCGCAAACTTTTTCTCGTCCTTATATATTAAAATTTGTAAATCCTTTCTAAAATAAATTTAAAAGAGAGCATATGCACCAAATTGATATCTCTCAAAAAACATAGGAGACATGAAATTTACCCCTCCCGAGATATGCATGAGCATACGTGCAATTTTTAATAATAAAAAAAATCGATGTCTCTCGAAATCACTAATTAACAAATAGGAGACATGAAAATTTTACCTTTCTCCGCAGCATCTAAAAGAGACATGAGCATACGTGCCAATTTTAAATAGTAAAAAAAATCGATGTCTCTTGAAATCACTAATTAACAAATAGGAGACATGAAAATTTTACCTCTCCTTTTTGCCGATCTTTTTTTACTATGATTTTACTATGAGGGAGATATGAAAAAATTTACCTCTTAATATATATTTTCTCTCAAGTTCTAATTAAATCGACCTGAGTCAGCTTGTATAAATAAAAATTTTTTTTACAGTAAGTGGCTTAGTCAATTGAATAGAGGCTGTGGCTTAGCTTAGTGACATAATTGAAATTGGAATATGCAGCAATGACCCGCAAACGCCATTTGTTTACGTGTTCTTACGCTGTAACGAACGTGTAAACGCATTATGTTTTGGATGGCCGCCGACTTTTTCTCATAACACTAAACAGGGACTCGAAAAAGATACGCCAGTCGTTCATAAATAAAATACTTAGCCAGTATAAACAATATAGAATTTGATATGTAAATAGATTAGGAACAAGAAGGAAATAGCAGTATTTAAATCATATACTAGTAGTTAGATTAAATAGTGGGTGGTAGTTAGATCGTATGGTGGTAAAAT